CTTGGAACAGCTTATATCCTTCGACGTTACCTTAACAGTTCCTAGGTCCTTGGTTAGGACTTGAGCTGTTGAGCTATCAACCAACCCCCAAGACTATAAATCTTACCAAATCATCATCATCATCATCCTGCTCACATAGCCAGATATTTAGACTTGATTTGTCATTTTTATCCACCTATCGAGTTCTTCCCATGGATCTAGATAAGCAGATGCTGTTGTTAAAGGTAATGTCATAGGATGCAAGCTGCTCCAAGTAAAACTGCCTTTTGTAACTGATTGATGGTGATTTTGTCAATGCTAGTGTTATTCAAGTGGTGTTCCAGATGTTTTGGAATTGCACCCAAGGCACTTTTATTACTATTTGTACTATCCTTATTTTCTTTTGCCATATTTGTTGTATTTGCAGATCTTTATATTTTGTGACACCACCCCCCCCCCAAGTTCTTTCTCTTCTATTTTGCTATGCTCAGCTATTGCAATGTCCACTAATTAGACTTTTTTTTTGTCTTCCTTATTAACAGTTACGTCTGGACTGTTGTGTGGCAGATGCTTGTCTGTTTTTCAGCTTTTTTGTTTTCTGTTACTTTAGCTGTTTTGTGGTCCCACCAGTCTTTGCCTGAAGGCAAGTGGCATTTCTTGAAGATATTCTATTGAATTATTGTTGCTACTATGTCATGATATTGTTTGCAATCAGCTTGTGCAATCTTCTTGCAACAACTAACAAACTGGTCCATTGTTTCTTCAACTTCTTTGTAGAGGCAACTTTTGCTGTTGCTGTTTTCTCAACTCTGTCTTTATATGCATTTGTTCTTAAGGCCCAATCTTATGCAGACAGAATTAGCCCTTCTGTCTCTTTCTTCTCTTAGCCATTGCCAGATAAAGAAATTACAAGGGCCAAAACTCACATATCCATAGATACATATTGAGAAATAAAAACAGGCTATATAACCTGTAGAAGAATCTTCCAAGTTCTAGCTCATAGTATATATGTTATACATATTTTGACCTTATTTTCATTCAGAGATGCAACTGAAAAATGTGTTGTTGAAATTTTTCTTGTTATCATCCAATTTTGGCAGTTCACATGAGCAGAGAAATGGTGTGGAGCAGGGGTGGGTTGCTCCCGGCATTACTGCCGGTTCGGTGCACACAAAAATTTGGTCCACGGAAAAACTCTGGCCAGCTTTCATGCCTAAGGAAAGACCAGAACTCACAGTCTCCTTGTTGCTAGGCCAGTGCCTTAACCACCTCAACATACTATCTGTCTTCCCCCAGCCCAGGGGTTGGCAACCTTAAACCCTCAAAGAGTCACAAAGATCTTAACCAGAAGCCCCCCATTCAATTCTGGAGCTGACCGGCAGTCTGGTTTTTCCCACTATAGAGTCTCCTCCTAGCATGTCCTTTTTTCCTCTGCTGACCAGAAGACCAGTTCCCCCACCATAGAGTCTTCTCCTAGTGCGGCAGAGGGATGAAAGAGCCACATGTAGCTCCAGCTTCATCATAGCCATGGTGGGCGGAATGGCACACCACAGCCATTTTGCCAGAACCAATGCGCCCCAGGACAATTCCATGTGGGATAACTCAGTGTGATAAATGTGATCTTCCACCTTTATTTCTATTGACAAAAATGGAAATAATGTTCATGAAACAGTAGTGAATAGCATTTATTACACTGAGTGAAGGAGAAGGAAGGAAAATGGAGGGAATTCTACATTGTCCATATTAAAAGAAGAATGTATGAAATATTACATTTTCTTGAAGAGAAATAAAACATAAAAACAGAAGAAAGCTTATAATTCAGATGTGTAATATAATCCAATTTATCCATTGAATCCATTGAAACATGTTTTATTTCATCAAATGCGAAAATAAGGAGGTGTATACATTTAAAATGGTAGATTCTCCTTGAAGTCAAACTGGAGTTCTGATAACGTCATGAATTTCCCAGTCTAGTCTATAGATTGGATGAATGTATGTAGGTTATTTCTGTGTATCATATGTGTACATGTAGATATCACACATGCTCACAAATGTAAAGCAAGCAAATCTTCACACAGAAGAAAAACTGAAACATTTGTGCAGATGATATTGCACTTCATTTCTGAACAATTTATTTACTCTACTAGTTATTAACCAAGCAACAACAAACATCTATAATTCAATTTTGTTAAAATCATTATATTTTATACATTTATTGCAAGTTTTTTAAACAGCAATTATAACTCAAAATAACTCAAAAATAAGATTCAAAATAGTATTAAGGAAGATTCTGTTGTTGCAATATACAATGCTTTGAAAGGCAAGCAAATGCCAGAGAATGGGATGATTTTGTCTTTGTGGTTTCTTATTGACTCTGATTCATAAATAGGGCATTATAAGAATCTTGACATTTAACTCAAAGCCTGCAATATAATTTGATTCTTTTAATGAAATACAAGAGCTTTAAAAAGATGTTTCTTTTCCCCTCTCTCCTCCACCAGTGGTGACATTTCTTAGAACCAGCTATGATATTAAATGCATTTTGTGAAATGTAATACAACTTGTTGGAAGTGCAGACTCTAATATTTATATCCAACTCATAACCAGTTTAACTTTTTTCTCTACTGTTCTGACCCACAGGAAAATTGCTCCTCTGAAGCTGCTATTTGAATTGGAAGATTTTTTTTTACTATAATTTTAATAGTTTTGTGATATATCAGATTATGCTACTTTAAAAAAAAATTAGGTGAGTCAAATCTCACATATAGTTTAACCTTAAATACACAAAAGCCTTTAGTGGCTAGTTACTGCTTCATATTTCTATATATGGAGAGGGTTTTTTTTAAAAAAAGAAAATTTCTTAATACACATAGAAAATATTGCTTGGAGATCACACATTCTTAATTGGAAATTGATTCCTATCCACAATTGATGATTTAATGATACTCATAGCTTAATTAAGCCTAGCCATCCACTAGTAAATAATAGAAGGGCAGTAAGGCTAAGTATCCCTTTCCTTCCACAAGAGTTAAAATTAAAGGATAGCTTTCTTTATATATATTCAATAATACAATAATACAATAATACAATAGTTGGAAGGGACTTTGGAGGTCTTCTAGTCCAACCCCCTGCCTAGGCAGGAAACCCTATACCATTAAAGACTTCCAGTGTTGCGGCATTCACAACTTCTGGAGGCAAGCTGTTCCACTGATTAATTTTTCAAACTGTCTGGAAATTTCTCCTCAGTTCTAAGTTCTCTTTTTGATTAGTTTCCATCCATTGCTTCTTGTTCTACATTCAGGTGCCTTGGAGAATAGTTTGACTCCCTCTCTGGATCAAATTGAGGACATCTTTATCACAGAAAACCCAAAGGAATCTACAATAATTTTATGCAATGTTGCATAAAATAAAGGCAGATTTTAAAATAATTACTGTGACATAATAGAAATGACATCCATCTTGTCAAAGTACGGAAGGCTATGATAAGGTGACTTATATGCCTTTGCTTAATCTCCAACTGAGGGAGTGTTCATGGAATTCTCCAACACTGGAAATTTTTAAGAAGTGATTGGACAACTATTTATCTGAAATGGTATAAGGTTTCCTTCCTGAGCAGGAAAACCTCCAAGATCCTTTCCAACTCTGTTATTTATTCTGTTCTGTTCTGTTCTGTTCTGTTCTCTTCTCTTCTCTTCTCTTCTCTTCTATTCTATTCTATTCTATTCTATTCTCTTCTATTCTATATCAGAAAAGTCAATATGGCAGCCATAATGGTGTGATTAATGGTATACCTGTTTACTATGTGCATCACATATAGGACATACATTAAAACACTCAGCATTTCAATTGCACCATTCTGCCACCAGTTTCAATTTCCTGAGCACATCCATAGAAACCTTTGCTTCAGGTGCTAATTATTCACAAGCATTAAAGTCCTGCATAAACTGATTATTATTTATCTTTAAGCCATACATGTCTTGAAAATCTCTTCAAGTGGCGCTTGCCTTTATATTGAAAATCATCTTTGACAGCCCTTTAAATGGATGATTGCCTTTCGTAAAGTAGGATATTTGAAACATCCTAATCACAAGCTTTTGTATTCACCTTACATTTGTTGTAATATAATAACTGAAAATTGCTCAAATCAGGCTATGAGTTATTTCATCTAAACAGATTTAACATGTGGGAACAACGAAATGCTACATTCTAAGACAATTTCTTCCTAATGGCCAAACATGTAAACAGACTGGTGGTTTTTTTTTGAGGAATAATTTAGTAAAGGACCCTTAATAAATGACAACAGGTACCACTAAGAATCAATTTAGAATATAGGGATGTAGTTGTTAATCTTTGTTCTGTGCCTTTGAGAAATGCATTCAGCAATCCATACAATATTTCTGCTTTCTTGTTCCTTCAGTTTAATGTAGGAATAAAAAACGCCAAAATGAAATTGACTGTTAAATGCCAGCACATTCATTTTTACCTATACAAAAGGAGAAATATATTTAATTATTATTTTTTTAAAAAAGGATAACTGGTTATCTCTAAATCATGTCTTTCCCTCTTTGGAATTCAAAAGAGCTTTACAAATGGCAGTAAATTTAAATTGATTTTCCTTTTAGTTTGCTCAGTAAAAGCTGGCCTGAGGTTTAACTATATCTGAGCATTTGTGGCAATGCTTCAAATAGTTCACAGGATCATCAGAAACAGCAGCCTTCACAAAAGGGTCAAGAAGGGCAAAACTGTCTAAAGCAACATTGTGGTATGGTCCTACTTGCTCCAGCCCGTTTCTATATGCATTGTGACATTATACCTGACCCATAGGGAAGTAATTTGTGGCCAGACATTCTGATGCAGCTTTCTTCATTTTGATGCCACTTATCACTTATAAAATGTTAAAAATACATCTTTTTCAAAAAAAATTAGAAGCAAGAAAGTTTGTGAATCTTAGAACAAAGTCCACACCAACCTTTGAGTCACATATCTGAAAGGCCCACACTGCAAAAGAGGATGGGTGCACCAAAAGATGTTTAAAGGGTGAGTATTACATTAAAGGCTTAGTGTATTAAAATTAAACAAATGAAATATTAGTATTATAACTTTGTTTTCATTTTATTATATTCATGAAACATGGATTTTCACACATGATTACAGTGATTTCAAACCCATCATGTCTCAGTCAATTCTTAGAATATAAAATAAATTGAGGTCTCTGTGAAGAAAATTAAATGAGCCCACAGTCACCTTGTAGGAAGAGATGGGCAGCATGATAGATGGATAGATGGATGGATGGATGGATGGATGGATGGATGGATGGATGGATGGATGGATGGATGGATGGAAGGAACCAACCTGTTCTGTTGGTCACATAGGGAACAATAGATATACTAATCTGGGAAACCTTTTCTGAAGTCCTTTCCTAGTCTTGGGAACATCCACAGTACATATGTCTGTTAGGGGGCCCACAAAACAAAATGTCTCGGAGTACATTGAAAATAAAGATTTAGAGAAGACAATGTTTGAAAGGAGGATCAAATCTTACCTCAAGCTCAAAAAAACCATCTTCCAAGGTTTTGTCACCTGTACTACCTCCAACCATTTCAAAGCAAGCCTTGTATTCCTGAAAGCACAAACAGCTACTAAATATTATGTAAAATATTCACAAATTGCTTCTTTTTGTCTATAAGTGCTCTTGGTAAATCGCTTCTTCAGTGCATAGTTTTACTTCACATGTTTTATAAATTGCAAAGCATGTTCCCTCCCTCTTTCTTTCTCCCCTTTCTTAAAATACTCCTTCAAGGAAAGTTTACAGAGGCTAGCACTCAATGACAACGCATTTGCATGTATAGTTCTTGGATTTAGTTCTAATATCTCCAAAGAGAACTGCTGTTCATTCACTATAAACAGAATCCAAGTAGGTGTATTGCTGGCCTGATTCAGTTTAATGTGTGTACAATGAATCTTTTATGGCAACATCACTATTACATGGACTGAAGTCACACATCATGCTAACCTATAGTGCGCTTGGTTTGTTTTCGATTTAATATATTGCATAAATCCAGTCAACATAATGAACGAGCCACGCTTATAATCAGAGTGTAATGGGATCCCAATAATTCTGATTTATTCAAGACATTAAGATGAATAACCTAGCTTAGCGTCAAGTATAAACTTCAGCATTCCTTATTGCATGTACAGTAGCAAAGAAATAAAGCCATGTTAAATATTTTTTTCTTGCAGCTATATCTTTACTACATCATTTTATTAAATAATTTTGATAATTTATAATTTTATGAGAGATCATAAAAATAGAAAAATAAAGCCTTATTGTAAAAACATACTTTATCTATTCCAGGAAATAGAAATTTCTTTTCTTTGAAGCCACTTACATAAATATTCTTACATTATGTTCAAATAACTAGCTCTTGTAAGCTCTTCTAAGTGTTCAACAACTGGTTGAGATAGAAAGCAGTACATATTTTCCTTTAAAGGCAAGATACCTATCCTCATATCTTTAAATTATCTTCTAACCCAGGATCCTAGAGTGATTTTATAGGATTTGGGGGTTAATTCCTGTTTGCTTTGAGAACTTGGAAAGGAAAATAATCTGAGTTATTTTTCAACAAGAAAAAAAATTAAGACAATGAAGATCCTATCAGTGAGCCCCTCGATGTGTCAGAGTTCTGGAAGCTTTATCAGAATTATATCTTGCCTTTAACTTAAGTGGTGTATATAGCACTGAGAAGGGATGTGGTGGCTCAGTGGTTAAGACGCTGAGCTTGTCAGTAAGAAAGGTCGGCAGTTTGGCAGTTCAAATCCCTAGCGCAGTGTAATGGAGTGAGCTCCCATTACTTGTCCAGCTTCTGCCAACCTAGCAGTTCGAAAGCATGTAAAAATGCAAGTAGAAAAAAATAGGAACCATTTTTGGTGGGAAGATAACAGCATTCCGTATGCCTTCAGCATTTAGTCATGCCAGCCACATGACCACGGAGACATCTCCGGACAGCGCTGGCTGTTCAGCTTTGAAAACAAGATGAGCACCGCCTCCTAGCGTCAAGAATGACTATCACATATGTGCG